TTTCCTTTGAATTCCTGGGAGGTGGATAGATGATTCACATGATTAGTTTTCTTGTTTGTTAGCAAGGAAATATGTGGACATATAAAAGGAAATCATACAGTGTCTTCATTATATTTGCTTAAACCACGTGCAGTGGGGTTGAAACAACTTTTATAGTGGGGACTGATGGCTGTTGTACCAAACTGGAAATCTTGACTATAATAGAAACCACTTTAAACCAGTGGGTGCTGCAGCACCTCCCTCCCACACTGCTAATTTCCAGTACCTATGAGCACAGTGGTGGGGTGAGGGCATGGAAGTGGAGAGGATCCAGAGAAGGGGCAGGAGGAGAGGACCAGGCAGGAGGCAGAGCCTGGGGCGGGGAAGGGGGAAAGAGACAGGACGGATAGAAGTTTCTGCACTATTGCTCGGTGTTCAGTTTTCAGAAATTGGAAAGCTGGCAAGCCCAAGGGAGGGAATTGGGGTGTCAGTCCCTGGAGTGAGGCAGGGGGCAGGGACAAGTAAAGTGGGGTGTGTGTGTGGGGCAGGAGGGGTAGACAAGATCCTTGTCCAGGCAACGTGGTGTCAGTACCTACTTCTCTCCTACGCAGCCAGTTCTCTCTTCAGCTGAGCTCCAATTCCTCCAGGCAGCACCAACTGCTCTTCCCACCATCCGGGTATGGAGGCTGATTTGTGGTTACTTCAGTAACCAGACTTCTAGGGTGTGTCTAGACGACACCTCTCTGTTGACGGAGAGATGTAGATCAGGCACATCGAAATTGCTAATGAAACCGGGATTTAAATATCCTGTGCTTCATTAGCATAAACATGGCCGCCGCTTTTTTTTCAAAACGGAGTTTTTTCGGGGACAAAACGGCAGTCTAGACGCGGATCTGTCGAAAATAAAGCCTTTTTCGACAAATCCTGTAAACCTCATTTTTTGAGGAATACAGGATCTGTCGAAAAAGGGATTATTTTCGACAGATCTGCGTCTAGACTGCCGTTTTTTTCTGAAAAAAATCCGTTTAGAAAAAAAGCAGTGGCCATGTTTATGCTAATGAAGCACGGGATATTTAAATCCCGGGTTCATTCGCAATTTCGATGTGCTTGATTTGCATCCTTCTGTCGACAGAGGGATGCAATCCAGACGTAGCCCTTGTGTCTGGCAAGGAAGATTGACCAGACACTGCCAGGTCCCCTTTTCAACTGGACTTTCCTGTAAAAAACAAGGCACCTGGCCACCCTAGCCATTCCTGTGGGGCTGTCTTAGAATAGGGGCGGGGAACCTAAGGCCTGGGGGCTGGATGTGGCCTCTGGCTCCCCTGGATCCAGCCCCCAAGGTTCAGCCCCCCTGCCCAGCATTGGGGAGCCTGTGCTGGTGCTCCAACCTGCCCCCCTGCAGCCCCACCATGGGGCTGGAGCACACAAAATCTACTAGCCAGACTCCCTGAAATGTGGGGAGTGCCTTTCCCCTTCTCAGTTGGGGGCCAGGTCAGCACTGGTTTTTTTCTTTGCTTCTCACTTGTGTGGCCCCCAACTGATTTTTCTGTGGTCAGTGGCCCCCGACCCAGAAAAGGTTCCCTACCCCTGCCTTAGAATATGGGGAACGGCTTGTGAATTGCTCCTGTGACCCTGGATTCCATCTTGTCCCTGTAACCAGAGTCATCTTCCAGATTCTGGCCCCCTTGTATTAACTGTGGTGATGGGAGCCATAGCAACCCAGCACCTTCTCACTCTGCTCCGCCCCGCCCTCTCCCAGCCCTCCTTGGGGGCCGGGGTGCTCTCCTTCATGCCGCTGCGGTGAAGGGAATGCAGCGAGCTGGGAGAGGGCAGCAGGACAGGGCACAGCGAGCAGGCGGCTGGATCGCTCCGGCTCCCACCCCTGCTGTGAGTGCAGGGGGGACAGACCCCCTGAGGCCGCCCTGCACCGTGCCCCCTGGTAACCGTTGGTTGCTCAGAGGGGAGGGACTTTGGGCAAGGGGGCAGAGCAGGAGAGGGGACAGAGTAGGAGCAAGGGTTAGGGGAAGGGGTGGAGTGGAGGTAGGGCCTGCAGTGGGAGGTTGTCCTTGGCCCCACACCTGGAGCACTTGGGGAAGGGGAGTTGCCCCAGTCCCCACACCTCCTAGGGAGGACTCTGCTTGTAACTTTCCACTAACTGAGGCTGTCAGCTTTGCCATGTGCCAAGAAATTTTGTTTCAAACACAAAGTAAAAAAAACCCCAACAAACCTCCATGTTGACTTTTCCTGCTCTGAACTCTAGATTATGGATTTATACTAAAAGGATTGTTTTAATGAATGGACCTAAGTCCATTCATTTGGGACAAATTTCAGAGCGGTAGCTGTGTTAGTCTGTTTCAGCAAAAACCAGGAGTCCTGTGGCACTTGGAAGACTAATACATTTATTAGGGCATACATTTTTCTAATCTGCAGTTCACTACAACAGATGCATGACCTGGAAGCGTTGGTTTGACAGGGATTTATACATACATACAAAGATGGGAGTGTTAAATTTCTATGCAGAGGACTAATGATAATGAGGTGAATTCAGTTACCATGGATGGGGCCCAATCTTTTGAGAGTTACCAGAGATGTTACAAGTCAGTAGTTTATTTCATCACTGCTACAAACCTGATGTTTATTCTTCTCTTCTAAATAAACCTTTAGATTTTCAGGTACTATAGGACTGACAGCAGCAGTATTATTGGGTAAGAGCTGAGTTATACACCTGGCTATTTGGCTAATCGTTTGAGAGGAGAAGAACCCTTTGTGTGATAGTAGTGGTTTTCAGTAACCACTCATCATAATGTCCACTGGGTGGGTGGTGAAATCAAGAGTGGAGTGGCTAAAGAGATTGCATTTTCAACTTATTGCGAACCAGTGTGGTGAGACAGAAGTTTACTTTTATTACTGACTTGGTATATCTAATAATAGAACAATCCTCTGTCCGGGGTGAATCTGTCCTATTTCTCAGCAGTTTATCCTGAATCTGGCATCCTCAGTTGTGACCAGGCATGTAAAAGAGGCTACCTGACATAGTCATACATCGAGAACAATGGGATG